CGTGGCTTATTCAAGACAGCGGTCATACTTCACGACTCGAACGACCCAGTCGCGTGGCCAATCAGCTTCACCGCTAATCATGCGAAGGAAGTCCTACCTCGTACGCGTTAGAATTGATAGTTGCAGCGGGTTGACAATGAGCAGTTCAGCGCGTTCCCCCATAGTCGTGCAACAGAATCACTTGTGAACTATAAGTAGCCAATGCACTCCCGTCTATCGTGACCTTTGCATTATTCAGTAAATCACTGTCTAGTACCCGTTAAAAGAATAAAATATAAACCAACAAAGGGACAAAGCCAATACCGAAAAACATTGCCTATTACGCTGTCAAACATCCAGCATTTTTTAAACCTTTTATTATTACTATTGCGAAACTTGAACTTTGAAAACCCTTTCATTAGTATTGCGAAACCTGAACTACGAAAATCCTTCGAGAAGTGTTAGTAGCGTAACAGTTGCTACGCTGACAGCAAAATAACAGTTGTGAATTACAGAAATTTTTTTCTCGATCCAGCGGTAAATTTTGAAGTTTTACTTAAGATTACCTTTCTCGACATCCTGTGAAGACGACTGCACAAAGACGGCCGTGCGATCTCGAGTAGTGTAGGACTGCATCCTTGCACCAATCGACTCTAGCTCACTCTCCAAAGCACTAACGGCGCGTTTACCAGTTCCCTGAAGTAAATGATAGAGAAGAACATAAAGAATGGATCATTTGGACAAGGAAGAAGGACAAAGGCAAACACCGAAGTTCTTACCTTGTGCATAAGGCGCTCAAGGAAATGTGCAACACCGTTATTTCCCTCATTCTCGTAACGAGATCCCGTCTCAATCCACACTCCGACCTAAACACATGGGAAACTTCACCAACGACAAAACTTCTAATGGACACATTAGATCAATAGAGATGGCACTGCCCTACAGGGTCAATAGAAACAGCACTGTCCTATGTGCACGGGCCAGAGCATCGGAAAAGGAACGCAATCCTAAAGTGAGCGGGCGTGTGCGGGTGAGGCCCAAACTGAAAGAAAAATGTAAAACAGTTCCAAGGCATCTAGGACCTGGGGAAAAATGGGCAGTGGTGTGCAGATTAGCGACTGAAGCGAGGGGACACGCCCCTCATAGGCGAGTTTCTCCTTGATGAATTCTGGGGGGAAATTAACTATATTAGAAAAAACTTATCAGAACCAGTATCTAGAAGGCACTTCATCCAGGATGAACCGGAACTGTTCAAATAGAATGGGACACAAACTACCCTCATTCTGCGGTATAAGGAGCACCTTAGCCTCGAACCCCATACGTTTTTTTTGCTTACTTTCCGCCTATTTCTTGTTCCGTTTCGGGGTGAATCATTTATAC